AAATAGATTTTGTATATACACATTACAACATATTAGTGTTAAACTAGTCATGAAGAAATATGAAGTAAAATTACTTTTCATATTGTTAAAAACACAATACTGTATAGGCTAAATACCTCCACAATAAAAATCTCTACATACAGACAAATCATCATAAAGATGAGTGCCAGAAGAGATACCAAAGTATGTCAGAGCTATGTAAAATAGAGCAAAATTCTATAATCACAGAAGAATTTTCATAAGCCCTTGGAAATTTTGTTGTGTTTTGCTTTGTTGTTTTTTTCTGATGAGATTTATTTTGTATTTGTAAGTATTAGCAGAAGTTTGTGTATGGGGAAAAATTAGATTTGAACAATGCCTTTATGGAATGTAGATGAGGATTACAAAAATAAACATTTAAAATTTTTATAATGCTTTAGATTCCATTCGTCCCTAGAATAAGGCATGGGCAGCTATTTGATAGCTTGTGTAGTTTTGTTTAGTAAGTGAATACCATAATCCAGTGGTTCTCAACCTTAGCTGCTATGCATTAGAATCCCTAAGGAGCTTTTAAGAAATCCAGATGTTCCGTACAGCACAGCAGACCAATTAAATCAGAATCTCTGGGGATGGGACTTGGACATCAGAATTTTTTTAAGGTTCCCAGGTGAATCCAATGTGCAGCCAATTTTAGAACCACTGCCATAGACAGTTGAAAATGCGGTGAGATTGAGCTCAGGAAAATGTAATTATTCTGAAATAGCAATTAAAGGCATGCCACCTGAATTGTATGCCACTTTAATTTTAATATCAAGCACTGAGAAAAGTACTATGGAATTATTATGATGTAATGATTTAGATTTGCCTTAGTCTATGAACCAATAATAAAAGATTATCTAATAATCATCAGAACTCCAAAATTTGATACTGACTAAAGAGATCAATTATGCACACCACCATTTACATAGGTATTTGTTTGAGAGGAAAAGTCCATTGCTAAAATGTTAAGTTTGAAAACCACCAGTTTATTGGAAGGAGCATTAGGTTAAGAGTTTAGGAAGCTGCCTTCTAGTGTTAACTCTGCTGTGTAACTTTGAACCAGGGTATTTAAATTATACGTTATAAAATGAGACAGTTGAACTGGAGGTGATCACCAAATTATTTATTCAACAAATTGGATTGCCTACTGTGTGCTAGGCAAGGATGCAGGGATGAACAGAACATAGGCCATGCCCTTGAAAAGCTCACAGAAGACAAACATGCTGAATGTGTATGTGGAGCTATAGTGAAATGAACAGGGAATTAAGAGAGCACAGAAGTGTACTTACTTCATCTGGTTCAATACTGGGACAAACTCTATAGTTGCCTATTCAGCAACAGTTCACAAATCCCTTCTTCCTTACTGGAAGAACCTCTCTCTGAAACAGACTGAAAATGCTAGGTGCTTGTCTTCCTCACCACCGTTGCAGCTGGGGCATAGACATGTGACCCAGTGCTGGTCCATGACACCAGAGGAGAAATCTACAGGACAGTTTTCCCTGTAAAAGTTGACAGTTGAGGGGCCGGCCCCGTGGCTTGTTGGTTAAGTGAGCGCGCTCCACTGCTGGCGACCCGGGTTCGGATCCCGGGTGCGCACCGACGCGCTGCTTCTCCGGCCATGCTGGGGCCGCGTCCCACATACAGCAACTAGAAGGATGTGCAGCTATGACACACAACTATCTACTGGGGCTTTGGGGGAAAAAAAAAAAAAAAAAAAAATTAAAAAAAAAAAAAAAAAAAAAGTTGACAGTTGACAAAGTGCCCTTCCTTCCTGTCCTGACCTTATTGAGTGAGGACTTGATACTTAGTGTTACAAAGGTCATCTTGAGACTGATGGACTGAGGAGCAAAGGCCTCCATGCTGATTGTAGCCAAAGTGAAAAATGGAAAGAGCCTGGATCCTTGATGTCAACATTGAGCTGCTGAACCACCCTACAACCACCTACCAGTGGACTTATTGGGATTATAAAAATGCTTTTTTGAACCTTTGCTACTTTAAAAGTAGTCTGTGGATCAGCAGTATCAGCATCACCTGGAAGATAGGTTAGAAATGCAGAACCTCAGATCCCATGTCAGACCTACTGCATCAGAATCTGTACTTTCATAAGATTACCAGGTGAATAAAATGCACATTAAAGCTTGAGAAGCACCAGTTTAAACCACTTTTAGTTGGATGCTCTGTTATATGCAGTTAAAAATACCCTTACTAATACAAATACATTGTGGATTGACCAAGTGCCATTTTTTAAATAAGAGAATGCTTGACCAGAAAGACTTCTGATTGAGATGTAGAAAGTTGTGAGAGACTATTCTTCTCACCGTAAAAACCAAAACAAGCAGTATAAGTGTGTGATCTTAGTTTTTTAAAAAAACAATCAGACATAAAACAAAACATAATGGAGACAAAACATAAATGACTCCAGAAAGTGACAAGCCATCCGTGAGAAAGGTGATCCACTCCTACTCTCTTTACTGACTGAAATGTAGGGAAAAGGAGAAAACCACCATAGAGAGGAGTAAGGAGAAATCAGCCTAACTTTTAACAAACTTTTGATGACTGTGTGTGGGCTCACATGATAGATTAGAATCCAGAGGAGCCCTAGACCAGTGCTGCCCACTAGAACTTTGTGCCATGATGGTAATGTTCAATATCTTTGCTAACCGGTTTGGTAGCTACTAGCCAAATGTGGCTATTGAATACTTGAAATGTGCCTAGTGTGACTGAGGAACTGAATTTTTAATTTTAATTAATTTAAATAGTCACATGTGGCTAGTGGCTACCATATTGGACAGTGTAACCCTAGAGACAGAGTGAGACTGCACTACCTGTCCCCCCCCCGCCACATTCTTTTCTACAAGTCTTCATTTAGTGCTAGGGATACTACTCCAAGAACAGAGGCAGTGAAGCAGAGCTGAGAGAAAATTCCTGAGGCATAGGTTTTCAGCTGGGAGAGACTGAAGGAGATGCAGGAGAGCTGAGAGAAATCCCCTCCAGGCCATCCCCAACTTCACAGGGTGTAGAGCAGACAAGGCAAGAGTAGGGCTGAAAGATCTGTCAAAGCCTAAACATCAAGGACTGGGACTGGAAAACAAAGAGAGCTCCCTAGTCACCCAGAAAGCTGGTAGCCTGGGCTACACATCAGAAGAAATCTCTCACACTTCACATCAAAAAAAACAGGCAGCTCAGGAGATCTCCACAACTCGCACCAGGGTTCTAACCCCAGGCTTTGCTGGAGAGAAAGTCCTGATCTGTCCTCAGAATGTTTGAAGCCATTGAGGAACCGCATCAAATAAAGTTGCAACCAAGCCCAGATGCAGCTCAACTGTAGAGCGTTATTGATTCAGCCCTGACTTAAGGAGTGTGCTCCTTTCTGCAAATAATATCATGTCCTCCAGTCTAGGCTATACTTTAATACAAAAATGCCCCGCACGCAGTCACATATCTTAAGACCCATGTGACCCTAGTCAAGAAAATAAACAGTCAATAGAAGACTCAGAGATGACTTAGATATCAGTGCTATCAGTCAGGGACTTGAAAATAACTATGACAAAAATGCCAAAGAATCTGGCGGACAAGGTGCACAGCATGTGTGAAGAGATGAGGAATTTCAGCAGAGACATGGAGACTCTTTTTTTAAAAAAGAACCAAATGGAAATGCTAAAAATAAAAAATATAGTATCAGAAATTAAGATCCTTTATATGGGCTTAGCAGAAAATACCTGACCAGCCTTTGCCAAACTCCTGGGGGCAGTCTGTATTATGGAAGGATTCTTATGGTTACACTGATTGATATTTACCTTGAACAGGAAGTACACAACACTCGATACACTAATTATAAGCCCACAAACATTTCTTTTGACAGAGCACTCCATAGGTTCATCAAGCCACATATTCTCACTAAATCCCCTGGTAGTTTCCTGATAGAAAAGAAAATAATTGGCGCTTCTGTGAATCCATACATAGGCCTTTCCGGATCACTTAGTTAGAATTTTCACCTGTCCTGAGAGGGAAACCAGAGGCAATCTTAGTCACCCCATCCACACTGTGTGCTTGTTCGGTCAGCTTATGATCATTATCATTTTCCATTCCCTTCCATTCCCAAAGCAAGATTGAACATATGGTAATAAAATACTGATTTTCACATAATAAAGATTTTAGGTTTCTAGAATAGCTACTTTCTTAACAGGTAACCTTGTTAGTGTCCATTGATGCTTAGCAGAACAGTGATCAAAAGTTTCAGCATACCACTTAGGACATACAGGAAATTTTTGCAATTAGGACTTGAATTTCTGGAATCATAATTGCCTCTGCCATCCCCCATGACTGTAACAGTTTGTTGCTTAAGAATAAGAAAGTAGATTCTGGTTTTTTTAATCTCTTTGAAGTTTTATAGATTTTTTGTTCATTCCTTATGTATCTTTTAATTCAGTTTTTGTAGAGCAACTCATAATTACTCTAAAAAGAGCCTATTTTTATTTCCACAAATAGGAAAATTTCTGTTGATTTTTTTTCTTCGTTCCAACTTGTACAGCAAAGTATTGCCCAAGAAACTTATAAATATGGATTGAAGATGAAACAAAATTATTGTAGTTTTTTTTTTTTTGAGGAAGATTGGCCCTGAGCTAACATCTGTTGCCAATCTTCCTCTTTTTCTTTTTTCTCCCCCAAGACCCAGTACATAGTTGTATATCCTAGTTGTAGGTCCTTCTAGTTCTTCTATGTGGGATGCCGCCTCAACATGGTTTGATGAGCAGTGCATAGGTCCACGCCCAGGATCCGAACCAGCAAACCTTGGGGCCACCGAAGCAGAACGCACAAACTTAACCGCTACGCCACCGGGCTGGCCCCTATTGTAGATGTTTATATTGACTTTTTCCTTCAGCTTCAATTGTACATACTTTTAATACTTTTTGTTAGATGAGTAAAATGGTAATGAATTCATTGCAGTAGTAGTGGAATTAACAAATTGCTTTATTTTACAGGGAAAATATTTATCCCTAAACAGAAACCTATACAGACTATTACAGAAGAAAAAGTGTCTCTTGATCCAGAATTAGAAGAAGCTTTGACAAGTGCTTCTGATACAGAATTGTGTGACCTCGCAGGTATCTCCTAAAACAAATTAATTTGTGAATGAGTGTGGAGGGGAGGGGGATACCAGCCCACACCTGTATAGTTTATACAAATGCTTTCTTTGCCTAGCAAAGTGCTGTTGAATCAGTGACCCCATATTTGGCTTCGTATAAATCTGACATAAAGGATTTCATTTCTTTAAATTTTCTCAATGGTGAAACTTTTATATTAATGGAATTTACTGTATTATTTGACATCTTTCCCCATGTTGCCATATTTGAAAATCTTTATAAAAATCTTTCATCAGCTGAGGCTCAGCTGGAAGCTGTCCCATCTGAGGACTAAAAAAAGATTCTCCAGGGTCCACTGCTGTCCCATTTTATCAGGAGACCCCAAGATGGGTAACTGGAAAGCTGATGAAACAGTCAGTCCTGAGCTGTACTCACCACTTTCCCAACTTTTTGGAAGTGTATATGGAACACTCCAAACCTCCCTGTTATTCTCTTCATTGCCTGCCCAGTATCTCCCCCACCTAGCTCCACACACACCCATTTTCCTAGACAGAAAAAAATATGATGCATGGGGAGATCTTAGTACCAAGCTACGCCAAGAAGTAACATGTTCGAAAGGAGCAATGATGGTTCTACAGGAAGGACCCAGGAAAGGGACAGTCAAGGTGTGGTACCACAGCAAGAGCAGGTGTCTTTTTCCTTGGGAGGCTGAGGACTGATGGGTTTGTAAATGGTGCATTCATCAGAGTGGAATGGGCCAGGGGCATGCTGTAGCTTCTGCCTCATTTGTGCAAAAAGGTAGCAGAAACAAAAACCAAATTTGTTTCTCCTAAGTGTCATTTTTGAGGGGTGCCACTTTAATCTTAAATATGAGAATTCAACTGTACTTTTAGTTTTCTACTCTTAGCTAAAATATGAATGTAAATTAATATGAGAGTTAACAAATGTAAAAATAGTGAAGGTTAAGTTGAAAATCTGCCTTTTATCACATCGTGTTCCTGAAAACCTTGTGGGAAGGATGAAGAGCAAAAGGAGATCGTTTCAATTTTCTCTTAGCCACCAGATGGAGCTAAGCATGGATTTACGTTTAGGGTTAGGCTGGCTCCAGCTATGTGTCTGAATTCAGAAATGTAGGGAAATCTAAATTAACAAATGTGGGGGAAAATAGCAAAGTATTGATGAGAAAGAGATTGTAGATGATTTTTTATCATGTTGTCTCCTTCTTTTGGCTGCAAAATCTCTGTTTAGTGAAGTAGGAAAATGTCCCGAGAATGTTAAAACCATGGATAGAAAATTTGGTTGTAAAATTAATTCTTTATGTTTAAAAGTGATGGAAATAAAAATTAACTTTCTTTTTCTATATTTATAGCTATTCTTGGGATGCACAATTTGATAACGAATACACAGTTCTGTAATATAGTGGGAAGTAGTAATGGTGTCGACCAAGAACATTTTTCAAGTGAGTACTTATAATGCTTTGTGACTTTTAATTCTTTGTTAAATATATTTTGTTTTCTCCATATAGCAACTTCACTATATACATACCAAATGTGTTATGTATATGTACTTGAAACCTAAGATTCCAGTTAGATGATATTGACATAGAAAATCTTTGAAAATAGAATATTAAATATTTTATGCTTAATGTGTCAGCAAATGTAATAGGAACAACTCTTATGTCACTAAATAATACAATGGTAAACAATATAAAAACTAATCAAACTTGGCTTCTGTTGACATTTTATTTTCAATGTTACTGATTTTCAAGAAATCCATAACAATGCTGCCAAAGTATATTATAAAATCAGATTCAGGAAAAACCACAGAACTATTCAGCCCCTAATGCTTTTATGCAAAGTATTAAATAGCCTAAAGCAAAGCTTTTTTAAAAATTTGTTTATAGGGTGTTTTAAAATTACCAAAACAATACATACTTTGGTGGCACACTTAAACAATACCTAAGTGTATAAGGTCAGAAGTAAAAGTGTCTCTATTCACAGACATCATGCCTTCTGCCCCTGCACCTCACCCCCACCCCTAACTGTTAACAGTTTGGTATATATCCTTCTAGATATTACACTATGTTTACACAAACATATATGTATACATGTTATACATAAATAGTCTTGTTTTTTACAAAAATGGGATCATACTATAAGTATTTCTTGCAACTTAATTTTTCAGTAATAATACTATTGGCTGATTTTTTGAATGCTGACTATGGGCCATGTTCTGTACACAGCTCTTGAATGTGAATTGTTCTCATTTAATCCTTACAACAGTTCTATTAATGTGAACTTAATTTGCATGTGAGGGAGCTGAGGTTTTAGAATGATTAAATAACTAACTTCAGTATCACACAAAGTCAATGGTGAGGATTTTAATCCATGCTATATAGTATATCACTTAGCAATATATCATGTCACCAATTAGTACGTATAGATCTGCCTCATTCAGACATCTGTATAACATTCCATTTTTTGAATGTTCTATAATTTGGCCATTGCCCCTATTTTTTTGACTTTTTATTGTAGAAATGTTCAGGCATACATAATAGGAGAGAGCACGATATATCCATCACCCAGCTTCAGCTGTTGTTAACATTTTACCAGCCTTGTTTCATCTATCATCTGCCTCCCTCCCCACCCCTTCCACTATTTTTTCCAGAATATTTTAAAGCAAATCTTGTTCACCTGTATTACTTCACCCATAAATATTTCCAATGTGTCTCTCACAAATAAAGGGTGTTCTTTTAACATAACCACAATGCCATTATCAAACTTAAATATTAACAATAATTCCTCCATATCATCTAATACCCAGTCTATGTTCAGATTTCCCCTATTCTCTCAAAAACGTCATTTCACAGTCAGTTTGTTCAAATCCGGATCCAAATAAGGGTCACATATTGCATTTGGTTGTCATTTGGTTTCAGTTCCTCTTAATTTCTTAACAGTTCTCCTCCTCAACCTCTTTCCCCTCTTTCTTCATGCCATTTATTTCTTGAAGAAACTGGGTTATTTGTCATGTAGAATTTTCCACATTCTGGATTTGGAACCTTGTGGTATCATTTTACGTGTTTCCCTATCTCCTATGTTTCTATAAACTGTTATTTTCTAGAGGCTTGATCAGATTCAGGTGCAGTTTTTTGGTTTTTGGTTTTTTGGCAAGAATGCTTCCTAGGTGGTGATTGAATCACATTAGGGAGCATATTGAGTCTGGTCATTCCTCTGTGGGGAATGTGTTAAGATTCATCAGTGAGTTCAAATGTCGGCAGCCTGGTCCATCCATTTAAAGTTCCCCATGAACCTTTCTTAATGATTTCAGCATGCTGTTGACTGGATCCATTATTTCATTAGGGAACAATGATCTTTATTTATTTATTTATTTATTTATTTATTAACAATTTATTTATTTATTTATTTTCTCCCAAAGCCCCAGTAGATAGTTGTATGTCACAGTTGCACATCCTTCCAGCCGCTGTATGCGGGACGCGGCCTCAGCATGGCCGGAGAAGCGGTGCGTCGGTGTGCGCCCGGGATCTGAACCCGGGCCACCAGCAGCGGAGCATGCACACTTAACCACCAAGCCATGGGGCCGGCCCATCAATGCTCTTTAAATACACACATTCTGTGGAGTGAAGAAAGAAATCTTTTGGTTTTTTAAAATTTAGAATTGAGGAAGAACTCATTCAGTTTTCCATTCAATGAAGAAGCTCTTCTCCAACCCCTATGATCTACCATCTTGAAGAAGATTGCCTTGCTAAGCTTACGTGAGAGGGAGCCCGCTCTGTCCTTTTAGCAGAGCTCTGTTAGGAAGCTTTTTCTTGTATCAAACCAAATTCTGCCTCCTGGCAATGTACACCTCTTTTAACCCAGCCTTTCAGAACAATATGAACTTTCTCTCTTCTCTTTCTACAGGATAAGTCTGAAAACAGCGGGCATACTTTCTTTTAACATATACTTCCAGGTTAAATATATCTAGATCTTTCAACTGTCCTCAGGAAAATAATTTTCAGACCTTTGTCTAAGTTGATCTCCTCAGCATGCTCTGTGTGTGTGTGCATGTGTGTGTGTGTGAATTTGAAAAGAACAAAGTACTCTAAGAGGGAATTTATTGGATGATTATCAATTTACCTTGTCTTAGGATGAGTTTTGCTCCTAAAAGCTCGAGGAGGGCAGAAGGGAAGAACTAAGCCAGACAGTGACCCTATCAGTCTTTCCATGTTAGTTGCTCTTAACTTTTTTGTGGTCATTCGCCCCTTTGAAAATCTGAGGCTAAAGGTGTTCTCCTCAGAAAATTTATCCATAAAAGTTTGCCTGTTATAGATATTCATAGACCGCCACACACATCAAAGTGCACTTGTATCTCATTAGAGGGCTCAAGGCTTCCGGGTCCTCGTTCAGCTTTGCATAGTTGTGTGCTGGCTACATGAGGGTGTAATATGGTGAAGGATTGGGGGTTGGAGTGAAGGAAGGCAGTAACTTTTGGACTTTGTCTCAATCGCTCTTCCAAGCACTTTATCTCTCTGTCTCCCCATTCCCTGGTCCTACTCTTTTCCTAATAGTCCCCACTCTCCCCACTGCATAGTGCTCCCCATAAGAGGAGGAGGTAATGTGTCCTTCCATCACCTTGCTCTTCTCATTGAGGCTGCGTTTCTTCAAGTCTGTGATTCTTACTGCCTTTACAGTCAAGTACAGTCAAATCTCAGAGAAAATGGAGATACGAGATGTTAGTTTTGATCATATTAGAAATTTATCTTAAACATTGCTAAAAATAAATAAGATCATTAGCTTCTGTTATCAAATATATTTTAGTGTAAAGATATCTCGTAATACACCAAGAGGTAATGAAAATATTTATTTTTGAAGGCTGATACATTACAAACAAGTTAAATGTTGAATTATGTTTGGTGTATAGTCAATAAAATTTCATTTGATTTCTATATGTGTTAATGCATAAAGGATATTTTAGAAATTGTGGGGAAAAAACTTTTAAATTAGCTCTGCTCTGTGTGTGTGTGTGTTTTTTATGTGTTACCAAGTTAATATATGCATCCACTGTAGTAGTATCAACCAATGGGACTCTTGCTTTTTTCATTTGTTACTACAGATGTGGTAAAAGGTGAAACGATTCTTCCAGTATTTGATGAGCCACCAAATCCAACCAACGTTGAAGAGAGTTTAAAGAGAATTAAAGAAAATGATGTTCGTCTTGTTGAAGTTAATTTGAATAATATAAAGGTAGGTGTGCTAAGCACATAATAAAGTTTTAAGTTGCTTTCAGTCAGCTGGATCTGAGATGAGAGCCGGGCAGTTTTGATATAGTGTAATTCTTTCTACTTAAAGGTAAAGTTTTTGCTCCCAACAGTATGCTAACATAGATTCCTTCATGTTTTAGAAATTAAAGTAGTATAGTATTTTTCTGACACGCTTTTTAAAGAGTGTCATATAAAAATGTAAATGCTACAGACTGTTAGCGTAAATCTCTCTGGCGTCCAAAGTACTGCCTACTTTTAAGAGCATTTAGTCTTTTGGGTTTTGTTTTTTTAATCAGGTTTCTTGAAGTACAATTTATACGTAGTAAAATTCTCCCTTTTTTAGTGTACAGTTCTATGAATTTTGACAAATGCATACAGTTAAACAAACACCCCCACAATCAGATGTGGAACATGTCACACCCCTTTGTCATCATTCTCTGCCCCCAGCTCTAGCCCCTCACAACCACTGATGTGTTTTCTTTCCCCATCATTTTGCCTTCTCCAGAATGTCATATGAAGAGAGTCATATAATAGTACATAGCCTTTTGAGTGTGGCTTCTTTCACTTAGCATAATGAATTTGGGATTCATTGTGTTGTTGCGTCAATAGTTTGGTCCCTTGTATTGTTGAGTGATATTCTGTTGGATGGATATGCTGCGATTTGTTTCTCCATTCAGCAGTTGATAGACATATGGGTTACTTCTAGTTTGGGATAATGATGAATAAAGCCACCATACACATTCACATGCAGTCATATGTTTTGTGTGAACATATGTTTTCATTTATCTTGAGTAAACACCTAAAAGTGGGCTTTCTCGGATCTTAGTGGGTTATAAAAATGCAGTTCTTCCTTGGAGTAAAGAAAGAAGAAACGAGTTCAGAGGGCATAGGGACAATTACCAAAGAGTAAACTCAGATTATCTCTTGGGTATTGGCCATTATATAATAGCTTCATTACAAATTCTTCATTTTAAATCTTGATTTATCTGAATTGGGGGTAGAAGGAGCATCTGGATTACAAGAACCTAAGGAATAAGACCTCTGTGCTCCTTTAGTGGGTGTTCCCTCCTGTGAGTGGAGGAAAGAAAGCCTTGGAAAAAGCTAATATCCCTAGTTGATTGCTAATCTTCTTCATTTTTTAAAAATTAGGTCCTCGTGTATCTCTGTCTCTAAATCAAGAGTAATAATCTGAAAATAACCAGGCTACAGGGAATTGAAGTCTTGGTACTAAAGGGAGAAATTAGTGCCTTCTAGAACTGTACATGTCTACATTTTAAGTTGTGTAGGGTTAATCTCTCTTAATACTTTGTACTTAAACTAAGTGACTAAGAATAGTATGTCATCTCCCTCAGGAATCATACTCACTAGAGGTGGCTCCCCCATCTCTCTCTTTGTAGAAAAGTGGATCCACTTTGAATACTCAAGTGTTGAATTCTTGTAATACAAATAATTAAAAGTAGAATAGTGAGAGTTTCTTTAACCTAAATAGTAGAGAAATGGTAATATATACTCTGCTGTAGGTCAACAGTTTGTGCAGATGTACCATAATGGAGAAATCAGATAGGGAGGAGGCTGAATTGTTTTCATTTGTAGACTAACTGTTGTGTGTTTATATAATTTCTGAATACATTTTAATGAAAAAAAGTAAGTACAAATATATTTGATTAATGGACTGAATTTCCTGAAAACTAAAATGTAATAATGGTCCACATTATTTGTCTTTCAAGAACATCCCAATTCCAACCCTAAAAGATTTTGCGAAGGCTTTGGAAACCAACACACATGTGAAGCATTTCAGTCTTGCAGCCACCCGGAGCAATGACCCTGTTGCTGTTGTAAGTAAGCTGCTGTTGATAACATGGAAATTATGACTGTGCACCAGCGTATGTTTCAGAGGGGGCTAAACTGTGATTTATGAACAAGATGTACTCCTTTTTTCTGATTGATGTTTAGCTCATTATTTACCACCCTTTTATGTTTACTTTTCCTGTATTTTTTTCTATGAGTTTTTAAAAACATAAATGGAGTCATGTTGTTCTGCAACTTAATTTTTCACTGAACAGCATATCTTAGAGATCTTTTCATATAAGCACATTCAGTTCTACACCATTCTTTTAACATCTGCGGAAGATTCCATTTGTGGATCCATGGTGGTAGGGTGTTGTCAAATGCTTTTTCTGTGTTATTGAGATGATCTGTGGTTTTTGTCCTTTATTCTATTAATATGGTATGTTACATTGGTTAATTTTTGTATAAATCAACCTTGCATTCCTGAGGTAAAACCCACTAGATGGGGCCGGCCCCGTGGCTTAGCGGTTAAGTGCGTGCGCTCCGCTGCTGGCGGCCCGGGTTCGGATCCCGGGCGCGCACCGATGCACTGCTTCTCAGGCCATGCTGAGGCCGCGTCCCACATACAACAACTAGCAGGATGTACAACTATCTACCGGGGCTTTGGGGAAATAAATAAATAAATAAAATTTTAAAAAATAATAAAATAAAGTGTTCTATATCTTTAAAAACTCCACTAGATGATGGTATGAACCTTTTTCTTCACTTGGCTTTGAGGACATCATTCCCTTTGATTCTCCTCCTGCCTCACTGGACCTCCCTTCTCTGGTCCCTACACCAGTTCCTCCTTATCTTCCCAATCTCTGAACATTGGAATGGCCCAGGGCTCAGTCCTAGGCCCTCTTCTTTTCTCTATCTTCACTCACTTTCTGGGTGATCTCATTCTGTTTCATTGCTACCTCTTATTTACGTAAGCTGATGACTCCCAAAGTTATCTCCAGTTCATACCTCTCTCCTAAACTCCATACTCATGTCCAGCTACCTACTTAACAGCTTTACTTGAGTGTCTAATAGACATCTCAAATCGATGTCCCAAACCAAACCCCTGACTTCTATCTCGTACCTGCTTCCCTCACCCTCGTTCTTCTCTCACTAAATAACTTTATTCTTTCATTTTTTCAAGCCAAAAAACTGGAGTCATCCTTGACTTCCCTTTCTCATAACGTTAAATGTATATCCAGCCCTGTCTTCAAAATATTTCTAGAATCCAACCACTTCTCACCATTTTCACAACTACCACCCTGGTCCAAACCACTGTCTCCTCTCTTCAGGATTATCGTAAGAGCCTCCCACTTGAGCTGCCTGCTTCCATCTTACCCACCCCAAAGCCAACTCTTTACACAGCATCAAAAGTGGTTCTTTTAAAACTTAAGCTAAATGATCTCCTTCCTACACTCAGAACCCTCCAGCAGCTCCCTATCTCACTAAGAGTAAAAATCAAAATCTTTCAGTGGCCTCATAAGGCCTTCCATAAGCAGACCTCCTCTCCTTTGCTTGCCCTTTCATTCCACTCTTAGCCATACAGCCTTCTTGCTCTTCCTCACACATGCCAGGCATGCTCCCAACTTAGGGCCTCTATACTTATTCCTCTTGCCTAGAACTTTCTCCCTAAAAATATTCCACACAGTTTCACCTCATCACTTTATTGGAGTCATTGTGCAAATGTCAACTTGCAGGTGAGGCCTTTCCCAACCCCTCATATGCAATAGCAACCCCATCCTTACCCCCAGCACTCCCCATCTACCCTACTTTGCTTTTTTTCTTCCTCTATAGCCCTTTTTACCATCAGACATTACATTTTCTTGTTCATTATTTGGGCCCCCCACTAGAATGTAAGTTCTATCAGGCAGGGACTTGTAGGTTTTATTTCTGAATCTGCAGAGCAGTACTTATCAAATAATAAGCCATCAGTAATATTTGAATAAAAGTTTGTACAGATGGATGGATAAGGGATTTGTTCCAGGCCACATAGTTGATTGTCGCTAATAGAAAGTACAAGTGTGTAGATACCTATCCCAGGTTCTTTCTAGTATCCCTGCCCCCATTGCCTTTTCTTTAACTTGACTTACCTTTAAGCTTGATCTTACCCATATTTTCTGGAGTTTGACCTTGCTTTTGACCCCTCTACGGAGCTGTTTTATATAAATTCACACTCATCTTCTTCCTCCTCTCTCTCTCTCTGTCCCCTCGATCTCCCCCTCACTCCCTCTCCCTCCCCCACCCCCTGCTCACTTGCAGGCATCTGTTAATCAATATGGTGTTTAGTAAGCACTGGGTCAAATGCTTAGCACTACCATACCCTGTGAGAACTGTAATGGGAGCAGACTGAAGATATACCACTCCTTGAGGAATTGAATATTTAGTTAGCCCCTACTCTCCACAGTCTTTGTGCTCTTGTAGGTCTAGTTATCTGTGATCTTTTCTGGCCTTCTGCCCTAGGCATTCCTTTTGGTCTCTGCCTTAGAAATTAGTCCGTAATTTACCCTCATTTTGGCTTCTTGGTAACCTAGCTGCAAAAGGACCCAAGTAAGAAAAGATGTTCTAAAGTGGCATTGATGAAGTTAGTCCTACACAGAAACGGAAAGTGTGAGAGACACAGGAGAAAGAAACATGAAGTAGAGTATGAATGAACATAAGAATGTGACTAGCAGTAGAGAATGTTACCAACAGAGAATTACATGTGACCAAAAATCTAAAGATTGTGACAGGTACATGTGAAAAGTAGATACCTGTGAGACCTGAGGTAGTGTGTGTCAAGCTAAAACAGTCTAATGAGAAACATTAAGGCAGTTATGTTGGTTAGTGTATTTGTTCATGGCATGTACAGTTTGTAATAGGTGCTATCAGATTTTAATCTCCAAATATTTTCTTTAATTTTTAGGCTTTTGCAGATATGCTGAGAGTGAACAAAAATTTGAAGAGCTTAAATATGGAGTCCAACTTTATTACAGGCGCTGGGATTCTAGCACTGATTGACGCATTAAGAGATAATGAAACCCTGGTCGAGCTCAAGATTGACAATCAGGTCGGTGCTCTACAGCGGCAACTCTGAGGAAGCTACAGCCCCCACGGCTGTGTAGGGCGTGGGGACTCAGGAGGCAGGTGGGAGGAGGGCTTCCAGAGAGCCCTTTGGGAAGGTGGGGACCTGAAAAGGGATGAGAGGACATTTGAGGGATACAGAATGTTAATATTTTTAGTGTAGGTTTTTGGTATATTCATAGAGTTATGCAACCATCACCACTGTCTAATTCCAGAACATTTTCACCACCCTGAAAAGAAACTCCATACCCATTAGTGGTCACTCCCTATTCACCCCCCCACCAGCCCCTGGCAAACACTGATCTGCTTTCCGTTTCTATGCGTTTGCCTCTTTTGGATAGTTCATATAAATGGAACTATATAACGTATGGTCTTTTGTGTCTGCCTTCTTTCTCTTAGCAAAATGTTCTGGAGGTTCATCCATGTTGTAGCATACATCAGTACCTATTGTTTTTTTATGGCTGAATAATGTTCTGTTACATTTGGGTTGTTTCTGCTTTTTGAATATTAGGAATAATGTTGCTAAGAACATTCATATACAAGTTCTTATATGAACATGTGTTTTCATTTCTCATGGGTATGTACCTAGGAGTGGAATTGCTAGGTCATATGGTAACTGTGTGTTTAACTTTATGAGGAATGACCAAATTGTTTTCCACAGCAGCTGCACCATTTTACATTCCTACCAGCATGTCTGAGGGTCCCAATTTTTCCACATTCTTGCCAACACTTGTTATTGTCTGTCTTTCTGATTATAATCATCCTGATGTGTATGAAGTGGTATCTCACTGTGGTAATCCACACTTTTTGATGTCTATATGATCATATACCAAACTTTAAAATTTTGTTTCACTTATCTATGTTGTAAGAATTGGGAAAATTTTTTTGTGTGTGTGTGAGGAAGATGAGCCCTGAGCTAACATCTATGCTAATCCTCCTCCTTTTTTTTTTTTGCTGAGGAAGACCGGCTCTGAGCTAACATCTATTGCCAACCCTCCTCCTTTTTTTCCCCCCAAAGCCCCAGTAGATAGTTGTATGTCATAGCTGCACATCCTTCTAGTTGCTGTATGTGGGACACAGCCTCAGCATGGCTGGAGAAGTGGTGCTTTGGTGCGCACCTGGGATCCAAACCCGGGCCGCCAGTAGCGGAGTGCATGCACTTAACCGCTAAGCCACGGGGCCGGCCCCAAGAATTGGGAAAACTTTTGAAAGACCAACAGAATCAGCATATACCTGAACATCTTAGTCTGACTTACCTTGAAAAGTATTTTGATCTAGTTTATTAATACTATTCTTTATTTCGATTATTCCAGAGGCAGCAGTTGGGGACAGCTGTAGAATTGGAAATGGCCAAGATGCTTGAGGAAAATACAAATATCCTAAAATTTGGATATCAGTTTACACAGCAAGGACCCCGAACCAGGGCAGCTAATGCTATAACAAAAAACAACGACTTAGGTAAGACAAATACAGTATCAAATCGAATTTGTGAATTGTATCATTAAGCTAATGTATTGGAGGAACTTTTTTTTACTTTTAAAATAAATTTTAACAGAGAGATTACTCGGCCTTTGTTTCTAAAGTCTGCACTGTCCTTTTTATAGTGATTGAATTCGAGTTCAGTTTAACTGTGGTTGTGGTGATTATTGGGTTAGTGGTAAAATCTGCTGCCTGTGACAAACACAGCTTGAAGTGAACAAACATTTTTCTACAACAAACATTATAATAAGTGCTTCCTATAACAAATATTTTATTCTCAGTTACAACTCACCCCTTGGAGCTATTAAAACAAAGATTTCAACATTACAGGAAAGTTTTTTGCCCTTTTTATCAAACAGGCCTAGATGGAAATTCAATTTTATGTGATAAAATATAAAAAATTATAGTTTTAACTGAAGTCTTGTAGTCAGTGGTATGTAAATGTTGGCTCTGTCTACCAGTCTCCCTACCACAGCTGTCACTGGGCAGTGAGTCCTCTCTCGGCACACGCTGCGGGCACTCGTTTCCCTTCTTCCATGGCTCCTATTGAACTGCTGAGGCTTGTGGCTTCTGTTTGAAATAAATTTTCCAGCCAAGGCTGAATTAAAGAATATGATACTTATAATTTTGTTTCTACATGTTTCCAAAAATTGACTCTTCTTTTAAGTTTGGTGATTGTCACTGAAATATTTTAGAATATGCATTTAGACAAGAATTTAAATGAGATTTTTTAAAGGGAGGAACATTTCAAAGTGATGCAGTTCTTTCAAGCTTCAGCCGTATCTGAGTTTGCGTTCTTTAAACGTTTCTGGAGCAGAAAAAATACAGCTTCATTCTTTAACTGAGGTCGCTGTGAAAAGTATTAGTTCAAACCCTTTCTGTCCTTTGATGACTGTAGTTTCCCATAGAAGAATTTAGCCTCTTGCTCTTTAAGAGAAAATTGGTGTGTTTTGGTGTATTATTGATTCTGGACATAGTCTGCAAAGTCATGCTAATTGTTTTAGTTTTGGTTCACTAATTGGCTTCTATTTTTTTCCTTCAGGTATTTAATTTTTCTTTTTTAGAGCACTGTTTCTCAGGTCTGACTGAACTTCACAAATAATTGGAGAGTTTTAAGGATACATAGATTATTGGGTCTAATTAGTGTTTTACTTAGTAAGTTAGTTATACTTCATTGTAATTGTCGATTTTAAAGACTCCAGGCTATTTGAGGGCGGGCGGGGGCCGTGACTAGGTGTTTTATCTACAACTCTCTTAAAAGCATGCCTGACAATAGTAGGTACTTAATAAAGATTTATTATGTGAATAAAGAAAGTGATGGAATTTGAACCCTGCTCAAAGTACAGTTTTCTGGTAACTGATTAGCCATAAACTTAAACCAGAGGTATCCTCCATTTTTCCTCTCCTCTGAAACTGCCTTAGCTCTCCCAGGATCTCACCAGCAAATTTGTAGCCCCACCCGTCTCTGTCATCTGTGTTCCTCTCAGCAGCGGTCATGCAGGAGCAGCACAGCAAGAGCCTGTGTCAATGACAGGGACCCCAGCCTTTGCGAGGCCTCAGCCGTTGTGATCTTCTGCCGAGCCGATCGTGGCAGGCACTTTGCCCAGATTTCTGGGCAAGGGAGATTTTGGCAGATGGAAGATGAGGGGACAGATGAAAACTATCTGCTAGGCTGCTTTCTGCTGACATGGAGCAGTGGAGTAGCTGTCCACGGCAGCATGTAATCAAGGATGGGGAGGCCATGTTGCAGAAGTTGTGGTCGGACACGAAGCAGAGTGGAGAGAAAGTAAACAGCTTTGTGCTGGTGGCTCTCTAGATATCTCCCCTGCCACCCCATCCCCAGGGCTCTTTCATTCTGATGCAAACTAGATTTCTAGACATGGGTCTCAGGCATGAAATGAGAATAAGGACATTGCTGTGTGGGGAATTACATGGATAAAAGCTCAAATTTTGGAGCAAGCAAGTTATTTATATGCTGAGGACAGCCTGCAGATTTTGAGAACTGCCTCTCATAGCAGGGTGCTGCCTCCATAATAAACTTTCAATAAGTACTTGCTGCTTGAAGCTAACGGAATGAAAAAGTGATGTCAGCAGATTAAGAGGGAATGCTGGTAGAAGGCACTAAAATTACATGGTGAAGAACTTACATTTTATGTGGGAGGCATTTGAGAGCCATTATAGGCCACTGAGTGCATGATTAAAATGATACTTCAAAAAAACTATTCTTATTACTCTTCTAGTGATAGGATATGAGGTTAGTTAGGACTTATTCGCAATTGATTGATCATGAAGTCTTGAGAACTTATATTAGTGGAGTGGGCTTTGGAAATAAATTGCCAAAGAATTGTTAATATGCCACATTTATAAGCCTCTCATTTGGAGGGTGAACTGAGGAATTGCTGGAAGGTAGCGAGTGGGCACCAGGTGACAAAGAGGAGTCGGAAGTGGCCCTTTGCCCTATCTTCTGCTGTGTTGTGCTCACGGCCCTCTCAGCTTGATCTTTGTTTTTCAGCCCTACACTTTGATCTCTGCCTATAGATCAAGGGGGCAGGCCTGAAGACCATGTTTTCTTACATGCAGTTGAATATGTAGTCACTGGAAAGAGATATCAAAGAACGAGACTTGCAACTTGTACATACAACTTGGGCATATTTTTCTTCACCTCACAAATGGGGCTGTATCAGATCTTTAGTGTTCTGATTTTGATAGCCTTTCCCTCTTTCATTGTTTTCTTAGCCTCAACTATTCATTGAAATAATCTTACCTACTCGCCATCTCTCCAGCTAAGATGTGTCACAGCTGTAAGAGCAAAGAGGTTATATGGTGTTCATGCAACATGCAATTGAACTTTGAGTCTCATTTACTGTCTTTACAGCAGCTAACCTCATCATCAATTTTCTACACCTTTTTTGTTTGCTCCACTGTCCTATAGGTCTTATTTATAACAAGTATCTTTTTATAACATGCATTTTAACACCTGAAATGGTCTGCCAATAACATCCAAACTCTGCTACAATTCAAAATTTTCTTGGAAATCTTCTACCCTAAAGAATTATCTGGGTTGTCTTTCAGATATTTCTATATTTTTCAGAGATCTCTATACAAGAATTAGGTTTGTATTTGAGGACTCAAGTCTCCATTTGATTTTTTCCCTTAATATTTCAGTAAACACATGAAACTTGTTCTTTGTTAACATGGACTAAAATTAGAGTTGGGGCGTCCTTAATGAGATAAGTATAAAAATGTTCATGGGAACTTGATACTTTAGTCCTCCTGGTTTTTATTTTCTAGCTAGCACCCAGCCAGTGGCTAGACAAGCTTTTATGCCCATCACTTGAATGTCGGGGCTCATCTACTGAAGGCCAACAGACAGAAGCCAGCATCAGAATAGCATGAGAGCACCAGGAGGCCTGTGCCCCTGTTGGCTTTTCATTCCTCTGTTCAACAGCCAGTTCAGGCTGAACAAAGGCAGTTGCCTTCCTACTGCTTCCATAGACAGAAGAGAGTATAAAATTAATAGACCAACAATCTAACTTAAACAGAGGAACTTAGTGGTAAGAGTGTCAAAACCAATAACACGTAAATGCAAATCCTCTATAAAAGCTAAATTGGCTTTCCTCATCCCAAAATGGTGGCTGACCAGGGCCTCAGACCATCTGTAACCCCACTGTGGTGAGTGATGAAGCTGAGTCTTGTAGTGAATGCTTACTGTGTTCTCGGTACTACACTAGGCAGTGTGTCGTGCCTTTAATTGTACAGCCGTGAGGAACAGAGGTTATTATTCTGCTGTTACAGAGGATGAGTTGAGGCTCAGAGAGGTTCACTTACTTGCCCAAGAACACCCTACAAAAAAGTGACAGAGCCATGATTCACGCTCTGTTTGTCGCTGACTCCAGAACCTGTGCGTTTTGTCCTCCCTAAATAGTTATTGGCCACAGCGCTGAGGAGCCCCGACTGGTGGCTCTCAGTGAGTGGTCTCTGGTGGCTGATCGGTGAGCGTGAAGGTAGCAAGATCCTGAAGATGAAGACCTTGCGCTGCTACTGGTGAGCGTAGTGGTTCTCGGTCACCAGTCCATGAGGAGGCTGGGGGGGGCCTGAGATATCCGCGCCTTTCTTTACTCCATCAGCTGAACTGGTTGGCTGGCCCTTCCGGCAGCCACAGTGTATGGTAGCCAATGGGACCTCACCACATTACCAGGGTCTAAGATTTTCATCACTCTGCATTTGTTGTTTTGTCAGAGCCCTGCACCGGTTCATTTTGTAGGAGACAAGAGAAGGAAATTTTGGAGAGCAATAGCAAGTCCTTTCCCTGTAAAAATGACAAAAATGTTTTTAGTTATGTTCTTTCACAGACTAAGGAAATACCTTGTAGTGCCTAATCAGAAGATCATGCAAATAGTTACTTTTAATACTTTCTTATCCCAGCTGCCTGAATGTCATTTCAAAATTTAACACAGTAATTTATTAATCATTTTTTTAATGGAGGTATAAATTATTTTAATAAGCAAATGAGACAGGCACTATGACTTGAAGCCGATTGCTGACCATTCTGTTCTAGCTTTCTAATGGAAGTTGCTGCTGTGTCAGCACAGGTGAGCTCAGGACACGTAGTTCCCATTTGGAAGCTCCTCAGTTTTCAGCAGGTAAATGACAGTGATGAAGGACAGGAATTTTTTTTTAAATTATTTTATTGAGGTCATATTGGCTTACAACATTGTATAAATTTCAGGTGTACATCACTATATTTCCATTTCTGTGTAGACTGCATCGTGTTCACCACCAATAGTCTAGTTTTTATCCGTCACCATACACATGTGCCCCTTTACCCCTTTCACCCTCCTCCACCCCTCTGGTAACCACCAATCTGTTTTCTTTATCTATGTGTTTGTTTTTTTATCTTCCACATATGAGTGAAATCATATGGTATTTGTCTTTGTCTGACTTATTTTGTTTAGCATAATACCCTCAAGGTCTATTCACGTTGTCTCAAATGGGATGAATTTGTCTTTTTTTATGGCTGAGTAGTATTCCATTGTGTATATATACCACATCTTCTTTTTCTTTCTTTCTTTTTTTTTTTTTTTTCTGCTGAGGAAGATTAGCCCTGAGCTAACATCTGTGCCAATCTTCCTCTACTTTATATGTGAGTCCGTGCCCAGGATACGAACCTGCGAACCTGGGCAAGCAGAACATGGAGAACTTAACCACTACGCCATGGAGCCGGCCCTGATACTACATCTTCTTTATCCATTCGTCTGTTGATGGGCACTGGCTTGCTTCCATATCTTGGCTATTGTAAATAATGCTGTGATGAACACAGGGGTGCATATATCTTTTTGTTTTGTTTTTTTTGTTTTTTTTTTTTTTAAAGATTTTATTTATTCAGCTTTTTCGCCCCAAAGCCCCAGTAGATAGTTGTATGTCATAGGTTCACATCCTTCTAGTTGCTGTACGCGGGACTCGGCCTCGCGTTGGACGGAGAAGTGGTGCCTCCGGGCGCTCCCAGGATCCGAACCCAGGCCGCCAGCATCAGAGCGCGCGCACTTAACCGCTAAGCCACAGAGCCGGCCCGCATATATCTTTTTGAATTATTGATTTCAAGTTCTTTGAATAAATACCCAGTAGTGGAATAGCTGGGTCATATCATATTTTTATTTTTAATTTTTTGAGGAATCTCCATACTGTTTTCTGTAGTGGCTGCACCAGTTTGCATTCCCACCAGCAGTGTGTGAGGGTTCCCTTTTCTCCAAGGATGTGAATTTTTAATTTTAATGGCCATGTGAACTAGAAATGGACATTTCATTTTCGTACAACCATAACTGGATTATACAGAAACTTGTTTGTTACAAGCAAGTTAACACTGTACAAACTAACAGGGATTTCTAACATACTTTCTTTTATTTTTCTCTTAGTTCGCAAGAGACGAGTTGAAGGAGACCACCAGTAAATCCCACCAAGGTCTACTCTTTGGGAGACTTCGAAAGGTCGCCAAGGGCTTGTGTTGGTGATATCAGATGTAAAATTTTCCTGGGTAGAAGGGAAAAGACTGGAAATCTATCTTTCTTTCTTTTTTTTTTTTTTTTAACTACATGTATCTTTTTTCTAGTTTAACTTGTTACCAGTTTCAAATTGTAAAATCAATAGTAGGTGATATTTTGTATTTTAAAGCATTATTTCTACTTTCTGCTAAAATCAATTTTAATTTAGCTTACTTGAATGATTTATGATGAGTCTTGGGTAAAAAAATGCAATTGTAAAAACGTTTAGGAAGTCATTTATGTAGAATAATATGAACATTTTAAGGACCAATCTTTTTTAAATCAAAAAGGGACATGGCTGATATCAGAACTGCTGCTGCACCTCTTAGGTACAAGGCACGTCAGAGCTTTCCTTATTCCATGACATGGAGACTTTTTAGAACATTTGAACTTGGCAAGAGTGTGCTTTTTGCTTCCATCAAGAAAGCAAAATACCAGAATTTTAAAACAGATGACTCAAAATCTGGTCATCTGTTTAGGAGTAAAAGCAGATCTCTAGGACAGAGAAAATGGTCCTCTGCACATTCCAGGTCACTGCGCTGGTCTGATATGTCTCAGCAACACCTCGAGTTTTTTTAAACAAAGTCATCAGCTTGGCCAGGTTACGTGCTTTGTTTAAAAGTATAGTTATGTCTAAATTCATCACAGTTTTTCATGTTAATAATGTGGGCATTGTTAAATTTTTGTGAAAGCTGATAGTAAAAAGCATCTGAGTAGGAAAGCAATTTTCCTCCCTGTAAAAGGCATACAGCCAACTCTCGGTTATTTAGAGTAAAAGGAAAAAGAAGACTTGTTAAACACATGAAATCAAAGATGATAAACATGATGGAGTTTAAGTCTGAGGAGCGTGCAAAACGGTCATTTAAACTGATAGTTACTGTAAAGTAAATTAGAAAATGACATGAGTATAAATTAAGTGTTGCATAGGATAGTGAGAAGTTCCTATATGCAATGCAGAATTGCTTAAACGGTATTTAATCACCACTGTCTACAAATTTTCCAACCAACAAGGAAATTGCTATTCTTCATAAATCTAATCTGTTTCCTGTCATCTTGTACTTCTTTGTCCGTATTGTATAAAAGTAATTTCTCATAACAAAAGTTGTCTTCCTATTGGTCAAAGTATTAAAGTGGACAATTGAACAGTGGTGGGAAGACTGACTCTGGAACCAAGAGTGCAGTAGAGGATTTGGACCTGTATATTCATGCCCTGTTTCCAGGCACCCCTGGAGCGGGAGAGGGCAGAGGCTTTACAGCTACAGAAGTCAGTGGGGAAAGGAATCTGAGTAATCCTAGCCTCAAAAATTCAGGCCTGACTGTATCATTTACAGGAAGATTTCTCTAAAGGGAAGAATCTTATTTCAGAGTAGGAGAGAGGTCTGCTGTTAATTTTTTTTAAACTTGGTGAAATTGGATTACAAAAAGTCGGCTCCTTCAGCTTGGGCTGAATAGTTTATCTAATGAGCTAGGCAGCTTCTTATAGATGATGGTAATAAGCCTTCTTAATAGGCGAAAGCTTCCGTGATGAGACCTGGGTGTATTTGTCTTTTTGAATCGGTATCCACTGTTTTTAAAGGCGCCAAAGATTGACTTTGCACTATTCCCTTTCAGTTATAGGTCGCTGATTTTTTTTTTTTTTCAAGTTAGCAAGTGTTGCTCTCTCGCTCTCTCCCGCTCTCTCCTGCTCTCTCCTTCTCTCCCTCTCTCTCCCTCTCTCTCCCTCTCTC